AACAAGTTAAAAAGTAATCGTAAACGATTTACATAAAGCGCATTTCCACTTGCATTTATTTCCCATTTGTAAGATGCAACTTCTGTTAAAATCGTAAAAATCCGGCCACAAATATGAAAGATAGCGTTCGTTGCACATGTGCAATCCATTTTTGACGTGCTACTTCAATTTCAGTTTATAAGAAGAATTTCATTTCAATGCTTTTCTAAATAAGAAAGTTGGAACTGCGCATGCGCAAACCTAAATTTTGAAACTAATGTTAGATTTTCCTTTGTTCTAAGCGCCTAAATATCAAATTTCACTTAAATGCTTCCATAGATAAAAAAGTTGGCACTGCGCATGCGCAAAATAAAATTTTGAAACTGGCACTAGATTTTCCTTTATTCCAAGTGCTTATGTATCAAATTTCATTTAAATTCTTCCATAAATAAAAAAGTTGGCACTGCGCATGCGCAAAACCAAATTTTGAAATTGGCGTTTGATTTTCTTTTATTCCAAGTGCCTATGTATCAAATTTCGTTTAAATTCTTCCATAAATAAAAAAGTTGGCACTGCGCATGCGCAAAACCAAATTTTGAAATTGGCGTTAGATTTTCATTTATTCCAAGTGCCTATGTATCAAATTTCATTCAAATACTTTTATAAATAAAAAAGTTTGCAATTCGGTTTATAAATGGCCGAGCTGCGAAAAGGGCACTGTGAATTTTGAATCGATTCGACTCAACTTTGGGCATTGCGTATTATATGGTTAAAGCTATGCCCATATTGAATTTCATGCAATTCAGTTAATAACTAACGGAGATGTAAAAGCGATCGGACATTTCTAAACAAAGTTATCGTTCACACGGAGAGATAGAGGGACAGACAGACAAAGGAACAGACGGCCAGACCAACAGACAGACGACAGACAGCAATACAAAATTATAAACGATCTCTAGGATCGTTAATAAACGGCAAAGGTGTAAAATTATGGAACATGTAAAAAACGGTTTGTTAGTTTTTTTACAATAACTTTTTTAGCAATAAACGCAGAAAAAATCCCTTCCTTGGTGCAAGCCTCGACACCATAACGAACCAAATAGCGAAAAAAGTAGAACAATAGCTCTTAAGATAAAGAACTAGTAGCGTCGCAAAGCTAGCGGACGGACGGACGGACGGACAAAGTGGCCACAATAGCGCATTTTTTTTATTTTTGTGGAAATGCGCTAAAAAGGGCAGGGGTCCATTTAAAAAGGGCAAGTTTCATTTAAAAAAGGGCATATCCCATTTCAAAAAATAACAAGAAAGGTCAAGTCCCATTTAGAAAGAGCGCAAAGAATAGGGTAAGTATCCCATTTAAAAAAACAAGAAGAGCGAAAACAAAGACCCCTTCCATGCCGACGGTTCCATTAAAAAAAGCAGTAGAGCAGGGGATAATGATCCCATTAAAGAAAAGCAGGGGATAAAAATTCCACACAGCGCAGTGGTCCCATTTCAAACACAAAAACAACAAGTTAAAAAGTAATCGTAAACGATTTACATAAAGCGCATTTCCACTTGCATTCATTTCC